TGGCAGCAGGAGCAGCGGCAGCACCAGACGCGTAGTCATAGAGGGAGATGTGGTCCGTGCTATTGCTCATAAGATACAACTGCAGGTCGTCGAGCCAGGAAGTGAACTGCACGGGACGGCCCTCAGCATCGAAGGAAAGAACGCGAATAGAGGCCATAGCTCAGGCGTGAGGGCACAGCAGAGCAGCGGCAGCAGCAGAGGGGACGCGCTAGAGCGAAGCTAGCAGCCACAGCAGGAGCAAGCGGCGGTGCACAGGCAGGGAGCAGCAGGCGAGGCGGGCGGCGCTGCAGGCGGGAAGTGCGGCGGGCGGGCTGCGAAGCGGGCAGCGGGGCGGGCGGGCGACGCGGCGAGCGGGCAGCGCGGCGGGCGGCTGCGAAGCGGGCAGCGGGCGGGCGGGCGACGCTGCAAGCGGGCAGCGGGCGGGCGGGCGACGCTGCAAGCGGGCAGCGAGCCGGGAGGGCGACGCTGCAAGCGGGCAGCGGGCGGGCGGGCGACGCTGCGAGCGGGCAGCGAGCGAGCGGGCGACGCTGCGAAGCGGGCAGCGGGCGGGCGGGCGACGCTGCGAGCGGGCAGCAAGCGGGCGGGCGACGCTGCGAAGCAGGTAGCGGGCGGGCGGGCGGCGCTGCGAGCGGGCAGCGAAGCGGGCGGGCCGCGAAGCGGGCAGCGAGCGGGCGGGCGGGCTGCGAAGCGGGCAGCGGGGCGAGCGGGCTGCGAAGCGGGCAGCGGGGCGAGCGGGCGACGCTGCGAGCAGGCAGCGCGGCGGGCGAGGGGCGAGCGGGCAGCGTGGGGGGGGCGGGCGACGCTGCGAGCGGGCGGCTCGGCGGGCGGGCGACGCTGCGAGGGGCGCGCGAGGGCGCTAGCGAGGGGCGCGCGAGGGCGCTAGCAAGGGGCGCGCGAGGGCGCTAACGAGGGGCGCGCGAGGGCGCTAACGAGGGTGCGCGAGGGCGCTAACGAGGGGCGCACGAGGGCGCTAACGAGGGGCGCGCGAGGGCGCTAACGAGGGCGCACGAGGGCGCTACGAGGCTAGGGCACGGGGTAGCGTGGTAACCGCATGCGAGCGGTGGTGGGCCCTTAAAAAAAAAAAAAACGGTCGGTAGGTCCTAGGGACCTCCTGCTCTGAATACCATCTCAGAATAACTAGGCAAGAATGAATGAACTAGCAGAAGTTTGGGTACAAATATGAAACCCTAGTTGGGGTTGTACCCCATATTGGCTACCCCACTACAGCCTACAAGCATAATACAGTTTAACATATATGACCTTTCATATATGTTGATACATATCCTCTACTTGTTGTTTTCAGTTCAATAGTAGTTCATTTTTACGTGGTTATAAATACAATGCCCTATTCCTAACTAGATTAGTTAACAATTAGTCAACAGTCATCAAGCAATATTAGACCCTTCAATAAAGTAGTTACATTATACACCCCTGACCCCCCATATTTTCCCTTATACTTCTTCCTGGTACGCCGAGTCGACCCACAGTCGCCACAGTTGTATGTCCATTTTGGTGCTTCTCGCCTTCGGTTAGACTGTGGTCGCCCTGCTCCTCTCTGCACAAAAACAGGGGCATCACAAACTCCCTCCTTGGCTCGGTTTACGCAATAACAGATTCGAAGGTGAGGAAAGGCACCACATACGCGATACAAGAGAAGGTTGTAACTATAATGTAACATGGATGTATGCTCACCGGTACGCGTTGTTGTATGTTAACTTCGGACCAGAGCGTGCCTCGATTGGTCTTGTGTAGTCCTATGGGGCATTGAAAGACGCACGGACAAAAGTTGCCGAATTTACGCCAAAGGTACTTCCTTTTACGCCCCATTCACGGCCTCCAGTGCGCCCTGTAGACGCGATCGCATGTATGCTTGGGATAAGAAATTTGTACGATTTGCCACGGCCCATTACGCTCGATATAAGCGTAGCTGCATCGCCAAGGACAGTCTGGCTCCAAGCCTAGCTTCTGACTCTTGCACAAGACCAATGCCGAAGCCCTCTTGGTAGACTTCATGTAAAAGCCGTATATATGTACTAGCGCGTCATCAAGCAAGGCATAAAGGCAATGATCACGAGATGCGTACAGTTACCCTCGAAAATGACAGCGTTGTTACTGATAGAAGGTCCCTCCTCGGGCTCAAACTCTATGTCGAACAGCTGTAGTATGAGGTCATACATATCACGCCCTCTAGGCGGTGATTCCGCCATTGTGATTCTGCAACTGCAACTCTGTTGGCCAAATCCACAAATAACTGTTAAATGAAGCACATATATTTTTTGGATGCGACGCGAAGGCTGGTTTCAACGGCATATTGAGCGGCATTTGGTGTTGATGCACAGTGGGCACGAAATCCTTGACAATGCCAGCAGAGCAAAGAATGTCAGAATATTATGCTCTAGCCTGTAGTGGGGTGCTCTGTAGCGAGTACAACCCTTCTAGGGTTTGCTATTTGTATCCCCATTCTTGCTAGTTCATTCCTCTTTTGCCTAATTCTCTCGACATGGTATCAGAGCAGGACGATCCTGTTGGGTCGATCCTGTGGGTGGGCCCACCACCAAATGCTTCCGCTGCTGTTCTACTGGTCGCGCGACGCCTCCTTCCTGCCGTACGCTCGGGGCGTGCGGCGGGTTTCTCCCCGCCGTGCGCCCCGAGGCGCGCGGCGGTTTCCTCCCGTGGGGGATGCCCGCGTCCCCCCGATCCCGTCGCCCGCGGCCCCGCTTTCCCGTCGCCCGCGGCCCCGCTTTCCCGTCGCCCGCGGTCCCCCCGATCCCGTCGCCCGCGGCCCCGCGATCCCGTCGCCCGCGGCCCCCCGATCCCGTCGCCCGCGGCCCCGCGATCCCGTCGCCCGCGGCCCCCGATTTCCCGTCGCGCCGCCCTGGGGAGCCGCGCGCGGCCCCTCGCTGCCCCGTGGTGGCGTCCTGGGGGCCGCGCGCCGTCCCCCTCGCCGTCCCCCGTGCTCCTTCCCCCGTTCCGCCCGTTTTAGGGTTTGGGGGTGAGGAGTGTGGGGGTGGCAGCTATGGGGGTGCCGTGTGTGTGCGCCGTGCCCTGCTCCTCCTCCTCCTCCGTCTCCCACTGCTGCAGCTGCCGCTGAGGGGGGTGGATGTGTGGGAGCCGAGGGTTAGGGTTTAAAGGGGGGTACCGTGGGAGTGGAGCTAGGGTTCAGCAGGGGGTGTGTGTCGAGGGGTGTGTGGGGCAGTTGGAGGAGGTTGAGCGGAGGTTGCCGTCGTGTCGTCCGCAGCACCTGTATTCCGGGGCCTTTCTCCTCCCGGTAGCTCAGAGAGCCGGTTGCATCTGTCGCCCGTGGGTCAGTTGCTACTGTCGCTGGCTGATCAGACGCAGAGCCTGTTACTCCTGTATTCCGGGGCCTTTCTCCTCCCGGTAGCCACCAGCGTTGCACCAGAGCCGTCTGTTGCCCGTGTGTCTGCAGCTTCAGTCGTCGCCTCCACTCTTCTCTCATCTCACCAGCCCTCCTCCTCCTCGCTTGCCCTCTGTGACAGCCTCTAGCTTTACCCATAATTGTGAACTTTAAACTTTTGCTTCTTGCTCATGTGCTCAGAATGTGTGGTGACATCGTGATCCACCCTGAGCTTGTACTGCTTTGCTTGCTGTGCTGATTACACCCCACTTTGGCTATGGGGGTGTGTCAGAATATTATGCTCTAGCCTGTAGTGGGGTGCTCTGTAGCGAGTACAACCCTTCTAGGGTTTGCTATTTGTATCCCCATTCTTGCTAGTTCATTCCTCTTTTGCCTAATTCTCTCGACAAAGAACAGCGACAACAATTCTTCTGTCAGGCCGTGTTTGCAGAATATCAGCAGTGGGAAAGTCCATGGCGTTTCGTCAGGAATCGCAATGACAAAGTTGAGTTCTGAGTGTAGACGTGTTTATTAACATGAAATGAACATAACGAAAAAAATCAAGAGTTGACATGTGGCTTATATGTTCAAATAAAGCGCGCGACTCATATTGTAAAACGGACCTGGCACAAACAGCCGGAAAAACATGCCAACTCAGCAAGTCTACAGCGGTCAAGCCAGACGTTTTTGTCAAAGGTACGCACACGTGGAAGCGTGTTCATAACGACAATATACATAACCGAGGCGTCAAACAATCCGCACATTTGAAATTTGCGCAGAAACTTTACTGTATCAGTACAGGCGAACGGCAATTGGTTAAAGTTACCTGATGCGCGTTTGAGTCCCCCGACCTTGCCTTGTGCTCTGGGCGTATAAGTGTTTTCCGCATTTTGCCTACTTTGTGACTTTCGCTACGGCCGTCAAGTGCTCTTAAATGGCACAGCCGGATGACTTACATGTTTGTTTTTTCCCCAAAGAGTGTGGGGTGGCATGTTTTGTTGCTAATACGTAGTTGTGAGAGTAAGACGGCTTTGCTGGACTTAACTGGCTTGATTATGCTTTATTATGCATTATCTAGCTTATCTTTATTTTGCTTTGCTTGCTTTTGCTTGATTTCCTAGGTTCGTTGCTTTGCGGTTACCGCCGAATTGCCTTCTACCAAGTTCGGGAAGGACCTGTTTGGGACGCTTCGTGACCCATGGAATCTCTAGTAACACCCGGGTTACTGCCTTTGTGTCGAGCCTATATATAGCCTCGTATTGTACCCAGGTGAATCATTCAATAGATTTCTCTTTCCTCAACAATATCCTCATAGTAGCCATGGTTACCACTTTTCCGCCTCTTACATTTACATGCGAGTACAATATACATCCCCCGTTGTGACAAACAGCCAATTCAAACTGACACCCAATTCATACCCATGCAAAATGGCCCGTCATCATAAGCATCAATTGCAAGTGTGCACAAGTTATGCACATTTGCAAGGAGAGGAGACAAGCTCTCCTCCAAGGGAGATAAATCCCACTCACAGCCGCATCCACTTTGCGGCGGCAATGTAGCCGCTCATGACGGCGGGTGCACCCACGTCAATCAGGTTGTGACGGCGGGCAGACTGCGCCACCCAGTCAGAGGTGGGCACCGCCATCTACGCCGGCAGCACCCGACCATGGCGACGCGGGGTCTCAGGCAGTGGGGTGTCAGCATGAGTCATAACCGGGGGCGGGGTGGAATTCAGATCAAGTGGCGAACTTGCGCGCTCCATCCGGACATTTATAATAGGGTTGCGGATGTCGAACAATGTGCAAAGGTCGCGCGGGGTGATGCACGTGGCCCGCGTATAGCCAATCATCATCTTGAAGGCCGCTCGCGCCGTGCGCCCCGCTTCGCGAGACGCCGGGTTGCAGTCATCGTAGACATCTTGCATGTTAGCGGGCGCCTCCCTCATTTCACCCGACGCAGCCATCGCCGGCTCCCTCACGAGCGGCTCTTCGCCCGGTTCGGCGCAGGTCGGCTGGTGGTCGTCAATGCCGACGAAAGCGTCGGCAGCCATCGCACTCGACCCGAGGCACAGCCGGTCGATGAGGAGGCCAACGCCATCCACCTCCTCATCGAGGCCGATGTCGGTAGCATTACTGCCTGTGCCGCCGTTGCCGTCATTGCTGCCTTCCACATGCTGGAGCATTATGGCCCACGTACGCGGAAGTTATCCGGTGCGCCACCAACAGCGCTGGATGGCGCGACGCGGAATGTTCATACATGCGTCACTCAGCCAATCCAACATGTCCCTGAGGTTCGGCTTGAAACGAGCCGCCGCGAACGTTGCGCCATCGGCGGACCTCATACGAGTGAAGGCGCGGAGCCAATGCTGGCAGTACCGTGCCTTCGCCATGGGGATGAGCCCCAGGTCCAGGGGTTGGGTGAAGCAGGTGGTGTTCGGGGGGGAATACACCAGACGGACATTCCCGATCGAGCATGTGCGGAAGCCGAAGATGTCTTCCGTCGTTGCGCCCTCCGTCTTGAATGTGTGGCTGCTCGCATTGTCGAGGAGCACCACGATGTTCCGCCCCTCGGCGTACATTGCAGCGTCGAGCTGCTCGATGTAGTGAGTGAACAACTAGGTGATTGAATGAGGGCTTGAATGACATGAGAAGTATAACACCAACCATGGCAGTGGATTAGCACATTAAAAAAAAAGAGACCTAACAAGGACCACAACGTGCGGTAAAAATGAGTCTCATGGCAGAGACGTGGAAGTATGGATTGACGCGATGTTACTTACCGACGACGTCATCCATCCCATGGCGTTGTGACGCCAGTAGCAAAGCTCTTCGTGATTATAGTCGAGGCAGAAGTCGTATGGCCGCTTCGCCTTGAAAATCACCAAGGGCTGGAACACAGGGGAGCCGTCGGTCTTGACGAGTAATTCGATCGTAAGACGCTCCTTGGCGATCTTCTGTCCCGCCGTACGAATGTTGCCATACGTCTTACGCGTCAGATTGGAGATGTAGAGCACGGTCTTTTCGAAGTTGAAGGTGTTGCTTGGCGTGACGAAAAGATGCATCAAGAGCTGCGACAGCTTTTTTTGAGTAGTACAGATGGCCACCATGTCCTGGTCGGCGGCCTCGCCGACGATGCTCATGCACCTGACACCCTGGCAGCGCAACGCCCGGCAGACCCAGCCAATGGAGCAGCGGAAGGTCGGCGGCAGGCCCTGAGCTCTCGCCATAGTTGCCCGTGATCGCGAATCGTGGTGAGCGTGAGAGGCACGCTAGCTGGGCCCGCATCAGCGATCTAGCGAGCCATTGCTCGTTCTAGCTTGGGGTGAGCACCTCTGCGCACACGGATGACGTCTCCAACACCATCCGCGTGCACCCAGCGGTCGACGCCCTTGAGCACGCGCCAATAGTGGAACGATCAGGGCGAATTCCGAAGCGCGTGAAACACCAACGCGCGAGATCAATGTGGCGCAGCTGGGGATTCGCAACATGATGGGCGCAGATCGCCCTCTTGATGGGAAGGCCTAGCTACGCGCAGTGGTAAGGATGAGGCATGGTGAGCAAGTGGAGTGATTAGAGACTATGATTGTTGAGTGGTTTTCAGCCTGTTTTATTCTTTCTGTTGAGCGCATCCGAGCGAGGTGTGGGTGAGCCTGATGACAAGGGTGGGCCAAACGTTTAGCCCCAACGCATGCATCGGCGGGGTTTTTTAGACATTATGCTACCCCATAACCACAACCAGCTGGTGTGACGGGTCTATGCTGCACAATGAGAGGCTATCGAGGTGTCTATATCGGGATTGGGCCAGGTACAGGTGGCGTGAGGAATTTGGCTTTGGTCTATAATTTGCACTATGAACAGCGTGTCCGGCGAATGTTCGGACGAGGTCGGAGGGGTTTCGTCCCGTCATTCTGGCCAGTTTGTTTCTGGCCTACAAACAGGGTCTACCAGGGTCAAAGTTCATTTTTGGTCGTATTCAACCCCACAAGCAAGTTGACCAAGGGGACTAAACCGTGGGGCAACTTCACGGCAAAAAACCCACGGGTGCAAGGTTACATAAGGCATGGGGCTCGTGCTTGGAGGACGAGGTCCAGTTGTGCTCACTGGGCACTCAGACGCTTCTTGGGCAGACGACCAGGCGACTCAGCGGTCGTCACAGGGTTACACTTTCAGTCTCAGCGGTCTCTTTGAGGTCCACCCGCCTGTCTTCTGTTCTTTTCTTGAGTTGTGAGGTTGAGATCTACGTGGGGGACGTGGCTGCACAGGGGTTATGCTGGCTGACCTACCTGCTGACCGACTTGGGTGAGCAGCCTCATTCTCCTCCGGTCTTGTACGTCAACAACAAGGCCATGATTGCCTTGTGTCGAGACTCGAGAAAGATAACTCGATCAACGGGAGCTTGACTACGGGGAAGGCACGTGTGTGAGAGGGATCTCTGCGTTCGTTTGTTCCTTAGTCGTTTCCTTGTGCGCACACTACTTGCTAGTTCATGGGGAGAATTGGCAAGAGTTTCACTAGGAAAACATAGCAACAAAGGTTCAGAATGATAGCAACAACATTGGCATGCAAGGCTACATCAGAGCTAGCACAGCTGCTGGTCGACCTCCAGCGCAGCACGGTCGACCGCGTTCCAGCGCAACAACTCTCGCACCGCTCCAGCGCTGCAGAGATGCGGCGTGCCAACGTTGCAAGTCCACGGTGTGCCAACGCTGCAGCAAGTCGGCTGCACAGCGTTGCACCCGCAGGACAACGGTGCATCTGCTTCGCAGGTGTGCGCGGCTGGTTGGCGTCCAACTCCCCGTCACGCGCCCAGCGCAGACAATCCCGCCCGTGACAGCGCCCATCAGCCACGTCGACCTCGGGATACCACCTCCGAGGTCACCCTCGCCAAAACCATCCCCGACGACCTTCGCAGCTGTCGCCCGGGTATCCCGGTCGACCGGGCAACCCCGCCTGGTCGTCCAGCCCAGTCGGACGCCGGCTACGCCAAGCCCGGCGTCCCCAGGTCGGCGTCCTGGCGTCCTGGTCGGCGTCCACTCGCCCAGGACGCTGTCCAGGCGCCCAAGTCGGCGCCCCGGCGCCCAGGACGCCGAGCAGACGCCCAGGTCGGCGTCCACCTGCTCGGCGCCCTCCAGCCAGACGCCCCCAAGCTCCGCGCCCTTGCAGTGGCCCCCGTGCCCACTGCTGCAGGTCGGCTGCATCCCCCCGCACAACCGACCACGAGGTCAGCTCCGCCCAAGCGAGGACGGGGCCAAACACAACTCCCGTTGACACTCCCCTGCCGCGTTCACGCTTGGGCCCCCAGCCCACACGGCAGCACAGCTCGGAAGATAGCTCGGCGGCGTGCACCCAACACACAGCACGCCGGTCACCGCACCAGCCATGCAAGAGGGCATGGCACCTACTGCTGCACGTCGTTGTCACCGTCGCCGGCTTCTGCCAGGCGCACCTGGCCGACTGCGACGGAGCACCGGTTGAAGGCCGGGTAGTGCAGCGCCTTCGTCAGGAAGTCGGCCGGCTGCTCGGTGGTCGGGATGTACTGCAACGCAAACTTCCCCCGCTTCACCATGTGCTGCAGCCAGGCCTGTCGCCGCTCCATGTGCTTGAGGTTGCCCGTCAACCCCATGCCCTCGGCGACCGTGATGGCCGACTTGTTGTCCACCCTGAGGACAGTCGGCTTCCCGGCGTCCAGCTGCCGGAACTCTGCAAGGAGGAAGCGAAGTCGGCGTCCCTCCTTGCCGGCTTCGACAGCCGCCACATACTCCGACTCGGTCGACGACAGCGTTGCGCACTTGATGCGCTGGCTCGACCAGGAGACCGCGGCCCCTCCGTAGACGAACACGTAGCCGCCCGTGCTCGTCCTGTTCTGCTTGTCACCGGCATCGTCGGCGTCCACGTAGCCGACCAGCTCCAGCGACTCAGGTCCACCGCCGAACTCCAGGGCGGTGTCACGCGTGTTGGCGAGGTAGGCGAGGCAGCGGTCGACCTCGCGCCAGTGCTGGTCGCTCCTCACCGTGAGGCCGCTCCCCAGCTTGCTGCAAGCGAAGGCAATGTCCGGCCTCGTCGTCGTCGCCGCGAACTGCAGTGAGCCGACCTTCTGCCTGTACTCCTCCTCCTGGCGTTCCTGCGCCTCCTCGTCATCGAAGGTGAGCTCGGCGTAGGCGTCGACCGAGACCGGCGTCTTCGGGGTGCGCCCGGTCTGCTCCTCGTCGATGAAGTGCCTACGCAGCTTGTCGGCGTAGCCTTGCTGGTGCAGCCACAGCTTCCCCGCGGGCCTGTCGTGCACGATCTCCAGCCCGAGGTACTTCTGCACCGGCGAGATCTCGCGTAGCTCGAAGGCGGCCTCCAGCAGCTCCTTCAGCTCCTTCAGCATCGCGGCGCTGCTGCTGGCGGCCAGCAGGTCGTCGACGTAGACCAGCACCCAACAAGGAACTTCGTCGTCGCCGACCTTGAAGTACAGAGCCTCGTCGACCTGGCTCTTCTTCCACCCGGCGCCGACCAGCACATCGTTGAGCGCCAAGTACCATAGCAGCGGCGACTGCTTCAGCCCGTACAGGCTCTTCAGCAGCTTGCACACCCGGCCGGTTCCGTCGTTGAAGTAGTCCGGCTGGGACATGTAGAGCACCCGGTCGAGCTTGCTCTGCAGGAAGGCGTTCTTCATGTCGAGCTGCATCAGGTTGAGGTTGAGCACGGCGACGATGCTGAGGAAGATCCTCAGCGTGACGTAGCTGCCCACCGGCGCGAACGTCTCATCGTAGTCGGCGCCGTACACCTGCGTGAAGCCCTTTACTGTCAGAATCCCAGTCACTAACCACTGGGATAAAAGGGCTTGTTTATATAGCGGGTGAGTGCGCCCATAACCCCCCAGGCCAACATGCCTGTAACCCTTCCCTAGGATCATCGGGGATCCCCAGTGGACCTCTGACATTTACGACCAGCCTTGCCTTCTCACGCTCGACGGTGTCGTCGATGTGGTACTTCGTCGTCAGCACCCACCGGTTCTTCATGACGTTCACTCCCGGCGGGCGTTCGACCAGCTCCCACGTGCCCATGTTGATGAGGCTGCGGATCTCCTCCTCCATGGCGGCCTTTACCGCTGGGCCCTTCCTGCTCGCCAATGCCTCCTTCACCGACATCGTCGAGATGTCCCATCGGTGCTCGGGGTCGGCATGCATGTCGGGGTCGAGCTCCGGAAACTCTTCATCCTCGTCGGCGTCGTCGTACAGCAGGTCGTCGTCATCCTCCACGTCGTACACCGTGGTGAAGGCAGCAGGGACGAAGAAGTCAGGCGGCCTCCGCAGCCGGCCTGTCCGCCGCTGACCCGGCAGAGCCTCCTCGGCGTCCCCTTCATCGTCGCCGTCGTCGCTGTCCTCGGCGTCCTGCTGCACTTCAGTCAGCGTCCCGACCGACCTCTCCCCTGCTGCCTGCTCCCCTGTCGGCGTCACCTGCTCGGCCTGCTGCTTCCCCGGCGGCCCCTCTGTCGTCGTGACTTCCTGGCCGACTTGCTGGGCGTCACGGCGGCCACCGGCGATGCTCTTGGTCGGCGCCACAGGCAACGCCCCACTGCTCCCCTCATTGAAGG